TTCTTTAATCAGGGCATTAACAACCTGATTGTAAGATGGAAGAGCATCATCGATAAGAATGGAGACTATTTCATTTAAAAAGCAACAAATGTTCTGTTTTGATATATAAGTTGTTCGGGTTTTTCACCTAAAAAAGAGCAACATTAATTTCTTGACAACCTAATATTTATTTTACTATAGCCTTTTATGTTAGTTCAATGATCATATAAAACTTCTGCCATGGTTTACAATTTTTTAAAAATGTTTTTCATTTGTTCTCTCTTGGTAACTTCATACTAAGAAATTTATTTCATTATTTTATCTTTGTTAACCTACAATACAAACACCCACAAATATGGCTGTGAGAAGGAACACTACTGTTAAAATATGATACTTAACCACAGTTCATGAATATTACTAAAAATACCGTACATATAACTGACATTTAAATATCATTGATGTTTTTCTTAAAATGTAAAATATCTATACTTTTTTCACTTATTTTCTTGAAGTATTATAAATACAGGGTTGCTGTATCATAACTTAAATGTACATTGTTATTAACTGTAAAATAAGCCATTGACATTGCATGAAGATTTGCACTGAGGGTCTAATGTACTTTCAGACACCTTGTTGTCAAGGTTTATCAACTTATATGCATGGAATAAACTGAGACACATTAGTTTTCTCTAAGAGTAGTATTTAAGTTTTAAGTTCTTAATTCTAGAAGGCAATATTTTAAAAAATCCTGAATTTCTCTTGGGTAACTTCTCTATTTTATCCCCATCCATCCAGTAACTACAAAATTAAATGTAAATCATTCACTATAAAATTGACATTGCTCAGACAAACCATAATTTTTATGGCCTTCAATTTTGTTTAGTTACAGAGCTATCAAATAGAAAATCTGACCCCTCCTGCCACATCCTCTTTCAGGATTTGTTAATACTTCTCTCTTATGTTTAATTATATTACCTATAACCAATAGAAAGTCAGGTTTTCATCTATCAAATGACGTATGATATTATGTTGTGTTCTGAACAGATAATCTTCAATTGCACTTGTAGTACAGGTTTTGCTCCCACGGGAGTCACAACAAATAGCTTAGATAAATTTGTAACATCTCTTGTTGCATAGTTAGAAAGAAAAATTGTGATCAAAAGGGCAATAAAACAATAAAATTTAATTATAAATAGATGTATACTGTTACAAGTTTAAAGTTACTTAGGATAAAGGAATGTAGTTTCATGCTAAATCTGAAGTCATTCTAGAAAGAAATAGAGGGTAATTTAGATTAATTTAATTTTTTTTGGGGGGGGGAGGTTACAAGGTCAGTCAAATTGACCAACCCTATACAGAGTTAGGGAAAAGAAAATTACAGGTAAGATATATAAAGATTTACTTAAAACAAACATTTGAAATGTATTTAGGAGGTTTTAGAGATTATACAAATGAAATTCTTAGAGATGAAAAGTATTTTTAATCTTAGCATGAAAATCACTTTCCACACAGCCTATTCAAAACAAACACTCAATATATTCAAGGGCAAACCTATTTTTAGTTTATTAAAAATGCTTTCCTAAAAAATATGATTTTTGTATGCGAAAGACTTATAATGTTTAATGAAAGACTGCTAAATTTTGTGAAAATATACCCACAAAGTAACAGTTAGTAGTATCAAATCTATAAAGACTTTGAATGAGTACAAAGAGGTCACATGGCTGAGAGAGTTAATGATGTGATTAAACTTTATGATTGGAACTTTTCTGTGGTGGAGTATGTTGCAGAAATCAATTCTACAGTTTGTTACAAAGAAATCTAGACTACAGGTAGTGATTATGGTGCTGATGCTAAGTCCCTGAAGAGATGACATAGTTTCTTTGATGGACTGGATGCTGATGCTGTGTAGGCTGACATCAGCTCCTTCAAGTATGTTGCAAGGGAACAAGGAGATCAAGATAGAAATGTTCTGCATTATTTGTGGCAAGCAAACATCAGTTAGAACAATCTAAAAAAATTAATTGAATGCCTGGTACCATTTTCAACTGCTGGAGTTAAGCTTTCTTTCAGCAGTATGAATAAGCTGAGAAACCAAATGGGACAAGACATGCTTCAAACCTGCATGAAGATTTGCATCGAGGGCCTAATGTACTTTCAGATACCTTGTTGTGAAGGGTTATCAACTTATATATGCATGAAAAAAACCAAGACATGTTAGTTTTCTCTAAGAGTGGCTACAGTGAACTGAATGAACATATTTTCCTTAATTTTTTTCTTTATTTGCAAATCCATAAAAATTACATTTAAATATAATAACCAATAATAATAAAATATATCACTGTAAATTTATGGAGTCAAGTATTTTAATTAAAGTACAGTATTTTTTACTTTGTTGAAGATGTAAGAAAAGAAAAAAAAGAGTCATTTAATGTTAGATTCACATAAAGCCTTTATGAGCTTTGTTTGCAGCAATAGAGGCAATGATACTGTCAAAATCAACTATCTTTACAGTTTACTTATCATTGAAAAAAAAAAAGAGTTTAAATCTATCAGTTCTTTAGGCCCTGTGATGCAAAATGCAATATTTCCTTTAATTATCATCAGACAAGATGAAAGGTGCAATTTCTTTTATCAGGTCTGAGACACTATCAAAATGTGTGCGTGTCTCTCTCTCTTACTTTCTTCCTTCCCTTCCCAGGTACTTGTACTTTGACACCAGTAGCCATACCCTACTTCCTTACAGGCTCTGTGTATGTTGTCTATAGAAAGTTGGTAAGACTATTTTAATAAACAAGGCATATAGTCCTCCCACTGAATGACTGGCTATAGACTACGTAAAGAACAACTGTAAGATTGTCTGTAAACTGTCTACATAAAATGAGTATAAAATAGGTAAAGTACTGATGTAGAACGATAACTACATTCTTATTAAGTGTATATATATATATATATATATACACACACACACACACACACTGCAAAAACAAACAAAACACAGAAATCTATAGATAAGAAATTGCTATTGTTGATTCCTATAGGAGAGAGAGAGGGACTTTACTATTTTACACACATGATAGATGGTTTCACATCTTACCGGTTCCTAGCCTCTGCATGATGTTCTCAATGTAGTAGCATGTGCTTGTCAGTTTGAAAGATTTATCAGAAGGTTCTTGTCAAATTCTATTTATCATCAGCATTGCCAAGTAACTTTTTTGAACAATGACATATTCAACAAAGTTGGAGATAAAAGAGATGCAATATGTACTTACTTGACTGATACCAGAATTGTTTTCTATTGAAACACAAGTGTGAGTTGTCACTGGCTCTCCACTTTCATGTGGTTTTAATGAGACAGCCTCCTCTAACATAACGTATTGGTCACTTGCAGTATCCAGAGTTTTCCTTCCTTCATCCTTTAATTTGTCAACTTCTCCATCATCTTTTTCAGGTAGACCAGTACTGTTGGTAGTAGAGACAGGTTCACTCTCTTCTGTCTTATTCCATGGCCGAGAAGGTCCTCTCCAAGGTCTTCCACGCCTGGATCGAGATCTCACTTGAGGCATGTCATGTGATAGATCACTAGAAACTTGCCTGTCTTTTTTTATAATTCCTGTAGTGCCAATCACTGGCTGATTTCACATAAAATATACTATCATCAGTAAGACATTAAACTACATAACACTTGTATACATACAAAGCACATTTTTAAATTAATTACTGCACTTCTATTCATTTGCAAACAAAATCTCTGAACTAGAAGGCACAATATGTGTGTGTTTTTTTTAAAATTTTACATTAACTTAAAGTTTTAGTAAATATAATTCATTAATAAGAGCTGTTTTCATTCTGCCAACCAAAATTCACTTAACTGAAATAACCCAAATGCAACAAAGTTCCTTTGTGATATCTAAATTCAACCTTACTTTTACTTCACCCTCACCACCACTGTGGCTTCCTTCTGTGTCACTCTGAGGTCTTTGAAATGTACGACGAAAATATCGCCCACGATATCTTCGAGGCAGGCAGTGTTGTTCTTGGTCCTGCTGTTGCAAAGTGTCTCTATTTCTAAAAGCTGGCTTTTCTTCCTTTGAAAATAGTGAAAAATATACTGATAAAAAGTACTTAATCCTTTATGAATAAAAATATTAATTTATTAATATAAAGACAGATACTTTGCCAGTTAATAGAACAGAACAATATAATTTAAAATTCACCATACAAAATTTTAGAAAGACAGTTTTTTAGAAGCTTTTAACATAATGTATGATTGTATACTTGCTGGGTTATTTTGAGCTTAAAATTGACTTTGATTCTCATGTGATTAAACATGAAATTGGTGTTTGGTAAGCATCAAATTTACAATACAACTACACATTGCTGGTGACTACAAGTTTTAACCAAAGGACAGAAAAAAAAGTAAGAAACATTTACAGCTGGGGTAAATAAAATGCAACCTTGTTAAAACGACTGTTTGTTATTCAACATATACTCTCATTGCTATATCTGTCAATGGTGTCAAACAGCTTATCTACCAAATGATTTTATTTTAATATTTTCTCACTTATTGTAGTTTATCTCAAGAACATGGCCAAATCCAATGAAATATACAGTAACTACACCTTATAATCAGTTCAATCCAAGTTTAACTCTATGTGCACAGAATTGGTCCATTGAACCAACCCCATTTCTGTGAAGTTACACATAGTGATATTTACTTTTAAACTCAACTTACTATATGTATCTTTGTGAAGTTTCTCAAGGTTTTAGCAAACATTACAACTCTCTTGTGCACAAAAATCAGAATTTTCGATTAAAGTATTTTTACTAAAGATTTGTCTGTGAATTTATGAAGCCTTTGTTGGGTCAGTCTGCCTCAGTCTAGTCTGAGTGCAAGTATAAAATACTTTTTATCATTTTACAGTTTTCATATTTCATTTGCATAACCTCTAGAACATCCTCAGTGAATATCAAATTATTTCTCTCTATTTTGGTAAAACTAAAGATTTCTCCATTATTTTCTCTATCCTAACAATTACTATAGCAAAATCATCAATTTTTCATGAAATGAAAAGTTTAAAAATATGAAGTAAGATGAACAATGTCTTTTTCTGTTCTTCTGGAAGGATCATTTTGCAAGATTAATAGTCTTCTTATCTTTATAGTTTCAGCTGTTAACCATTTCACATCTGTTATATTTAATCTTGTTTTTACTGCTATAACTGGAACTCACTTGAGCAGTAATCCTTCCATTAAAATCACAGTGGTAGATCATTAGCACTTATCACAAACCTCATAAGTAAAGTAGTGCATGACCTGTATAATCTTTGCAATTGCAAACTATAACTGTGCTAGATCTCACTTTTTTCACTAAGTTACTTCTGTAAATGAAAATTTATGTTGCTTTCAAATATACATTTTAGAACAGAAGAAATATAATGATCACTAGAATAGTGTTCCAAAACTACTATAACACAGTAATGCAAATTTAAGTCTGTAGAATTCATAAAAATTGTTTTGGTTTTAATAATGGATTTTCTATAATTCAACTAATCAGATTTCAGAAATAATGATATTTTTTTCATTCATAGAAGAATTTTTTACAAATCATGAAGAAAAAATAACTTACTTAGATCAAATTATTATTTCGTTTACCAGAATGAACATTTTTATTATTATGTTTGTTAACAAAAATACAAACCAATTGAAGAAGAGGGAAGAACATTGATGTCAAACGAATATGCATCCTCATTCAACCCACTTTTTTTGTGAAATCTACGTCTTTTAGTCTCAAAACTACGTGTTGTGGTCTTTCTTTTATGTATTGCATCTGGAACATCTCATATCAATAACTGGCAGTAATCAGCTATCATGTTGATGTTCCACCTTCCCCCGATACCTCCTCTCCATTTCTCTGATGTCTTGATGAAACTTTTCCAGACACTTCACGTTGAAAACAATTCCTACCATTATTACTATTGCCATCAGATTCAGAATCAGGTGAAACTGTATCAAATCTCCTGTGAAGTAGGTACAGGTACATCAGGTCCATGAGCAACAGGTCTTATAGCAGATTCAAGGTTTGGATAAGAAATTTCCTTTTTATTTTGAGCATTGTAGCCTTGCATGTTACATGAGCAAAAACAGCTGTCATCTCAGTGGTTTCTAGGCTTATGCCAGACCACAGGAATTCCAAAAAGCAAAGGCTTTTTCTTACCTTTAGTCCATGATTTATCTTGGTCCCCAAGTTTTACTTTGAAATATGCGTAATCCACTTTTGTGACAAATTCTGTAATGTCTTGCCTTTGTTTCTTTACAACAAATTTATCACAAATAGAACTTTTATGATTTATGTAAAGGAAAGTGTTCTTTCTATTGGCTGTAATTATGTATGTCAGCCATGCAAAGTTGATTAGCAAACAATCTCAAAAGTGAGAGAGACAGAGAGGTTTGACAAATTCCAAATTCAAATTCTTGCTTCCAATTAAATACAGCTCATATTTTTAATTTGTTGGAAAGTACAGAAGCCTATCACTTAAGTTATAAATTTCTGAAATTGAGGTGTCGAAGATCAGATGCATCACCTGACACAAAATAAAAAAAAATTAACATTGAAATTTTTTAAATATTTCTCTTTGAAATAAAGATGTTAAAACTTAGAAAAATCAGGGGAAAGCAAAGATGTTAATTTTATACTATCCACCAGACTTGCTCAAAAATTGTTTTATAAACATCAAACTTCACCAAAGTAAACAGCATTCAATATATTTTTAGGAAAAAATAACTTTTTCATATAATTCTCCATACTTGCATCTATACAACAGCCAGAGAAATAGCAGAAAAGCATATTTGATATTAATTTTAAAGTGCTATATCTTTTTAATAAATCTTTTCGGGACACTTTAATTTGTGGTAATGGTCAGCAACTATACCTTCTATAAAATAGGTATTATTTTAGGATTCTGACCAAGATACAAATTGAGTAGCTGCTTGTATATTTAGCAGAAAAAAATCATTCACAAATGTAAATTATCCAAATTTTAAGTAGTTTTTTTGCACCAGGGTTTGAAAAATCAATATATATTTGCACCGAGTCATTTCTTATAACTGAAAAGTGCAAAAATCACAAAATTACCAATTCTGTAAATGACTAGTTACTTTGTTAAGAACAGCTATGGGAAACTTACTTTGCATAAAAAATACCTGTGTATCAGATTTATAGTGCACTGATTTGTCAATTTTTTTCTTTTAATTTCTTTTTTTGTCCTAATATTTATCCAGAGTTGATTTTAACTTTTGTTAGTTTTCATATTCTGCTACTCTGTCATTAGTGTCTTTTTGGCTAATGGTTTAGGAAATTGCTAGTTATATACTTTGAGATCCTGACAACTGTGTGGCTGCCTTTGTGGCAAGTTCTTCGATTTTATGGACCTATAAAGTAAATCTGCAAGTATAATAAAATAACACCTGGTTTAAATAAATAATGTTTCAGTGACTTGTAAACTTCCCGATTTGTTTTTGTATTGTATCTCACTGCTTGTTGATTGTGTAGGAATATTGAAAAAAACTCTTATCTTTGTTGAACTGTGAAAAAAATACTTTATGATGAAGGCAGATGAATATTAAGATTTATTTTTCAAATATATGAGATCAATATTTGACAACTAAGTTTTAATATTTATCTGCCTTTTCAAGAATAATGCTCAAATACCAGTCTTTGTCATGCATAACAGCAACATAGTCACCAAAATGAAATATTCACCACTTTGTAAAATTGATTTTTAGTGATAGTTTTGCAAAGTTATATCTTCCAACCACTATTTCCACCAAAGAACCTGGTCATTTGAAAAATAGGCAAATTTGAGACGTTGCATTGTTCAACTAACTAGTATATGTCTAGTATAAGAGAAAAAAAATGAAGAAATTTTGAAGTTATTCAAAACAACTACAGAGCTGGTAGTCTTTTAAGTTTGGATATTTATATACACGTTTTTCAACCCTTAAATACATAAATATTGTCTCAGTTTCTCTATTGTCAGTCTTAAATCATATCTATTTTAAAAAATAGATAAAAAATTACCTTTCCTTAAAAATTTGAGTATTCAGTGGATTGATTCCTGAGAAAATTGACTTTGAAGATAATATCAGATTTTGTACTTTTCCGTTTTTTTTTTTACTGTGTTGTGAAGCAGAAATGGAAAATTACATAAAAAGTTAACTTGAATATTATGAGAAGTTGTACATTTTGTTGAAATTTGAAGTTTTTAGAAATTTTTTCTCTATATATGAAATCTTAAGTGTTACCAAATAGTATAGAACTGGGTCATTCTGCATACCTAACAGTATTCTAAATAGCCATTATTATTTTAAAAATAGATTTAGGATGCTGACACTTTTCACAGTTGTTATTTATACAAGTTCAAGTATGCAAAAAGAAAAAAAGAAGTTAAAATTTGTCAGGATGAGTTATAGCCCACTGAGTAAATTAACATCATTTCTGACTAATTATTTGAGTGATTGCTAATTTTATTTTAATATAAATTGATAATTTATAAATTATTATTAGCTGTAAATAATGTTAAGTATCTCTTTCAAAGAAGATTCAGGTACAGAAAATGCACACGTGGAAGTTGTTTATGAACTTCTGCAGCCTAGATACTATACATACCAGCAAATATATTTCAAATATGTTGAAATGTAATCATGCTTTCACCAACATAATTTTCTCATTTTTCCAACATGTATTAACTTTTCATTTTCAGCTCATTCATTGTCAGATGAGTTGTTGATACTCCCATTTTGTGTAAGTGTGCAAGAAGAAAAAGGGAAATTTGTATTTCATCCATTAGCCTGCTTAGAGTTGATGAGAAATTGATCAAAGCTAAACTATCCTATCCCGACAATACTCTATCACTTTAACCATATTTCATTTAACTTTTCATTTTTTGTGTTTTGCTTAATGTTTACATATCAAATACATTAATTATTACTCTAACATTCTGTATAGAAACATGAAATAACTTTAACAGCTAACCCATGGTATTAATTATTTTGATTTATCTTAAGTTAAAAATTTCTAATAAAGAAAACGTAAATAATTAAAAACGGCATTATTTATGAAGCAAATAAGTCAGCAACTACAATATATACAAGTGCATTATGGTTTTTTTTATGTATTATTTTACCATCCAGTCAAACTAGAATGTTCATAAAATGGTCACATGCTCACTGAGAAACTATAAAATGTTCTAAACAATCTAGATGCACCTAATGATGAGAAGTGAAAATTTAATTGTTTTAGCACTTTTACCCTGTCATACCTTTAACAAAACAACTCTGTCTGTCTGCTTATTTTATAGGATATTTCCTAGAGTGCGTAGTTATATATCATAGTCAGCTTAAAGATTAACTGTAAGAGTAATTTCTGAACTAAAATCAGCTGAGAACTACATGAAAGAAACATGCAGATTTACATTTTGTATGTAATTTTCCTAGGAAGTAAATAAGAGTTGAGAGCTGCAACACATGTTAGAATCCTCAAAAGCAGCTGAAACCCACAGTATATGGCTGACAGAAGATGAAGAGTGATTTTCTTTGGTCATCTGATGAAACTTTGCACTTACTGAATATACTACCACACCATCCGATTTTTTGCATGTGAAAAACTTATAATGTTTACTGAAAGTCTGCCAAATGTTGTGAAGATATACATAATATATTAAAATTTAGTAGTATCAAATCTATAACGTCTATAATATGACAGATGGGTATGGCAAGAGGAGTCAATGCAACCGAGTCTGTGTCAAGAGAGTTAAGCTTTTACTTGAGTGCAAATGAGTTCTATTATGTAATAAGTACTACAAATCCTTATTTATTTTGTTGTGTGTGTGTGTGTGTGTGTGTGTGTGTATATATTATTTATCATTATATATCTTTGAACTAAAGTAATTAAACTGTAATAATAAGAATCTTCTGAGTTTAGCCTAATAAAATTTCAATAAAATTTAACATTTGAAGTTTTATGAGTGTTACATTACCTTGCTGTTAACAATAGCTCTAATGGATATAGTTAATGTACTCTCTAATTCATTGCTTTTAAAAGGAGACATTACTGTTTGTGAGACTCAAATACGGCAATAAAACCATAAAAAGAAATGAAGCCATAAATAAAAAGGTAACAGTTAAAGCTGTTAAAGTTAATATTTTCTTACACTGAAAATTCATTTCCAATAGGTACTTACCTCTTTTCTTCTTGCTTGATAAACACTGATGAAAAATTTTAACACTCAGCATACCAGTCTATATACCCCACAAATTTTGCACCACTTTTGAATATGTAAATAGCATCTGACCACCCTCTACCAATAGTGCTGTACTACCTATGCAGTCTTACCTCGCACACCAAAAAGGTGGAGGGACCAGTGTACATGCCTAACAGTGAAACCAAGCGGAAAGTGACCACTTAGAAATAACTGGTGTGCTCAGAGACTCATCCAAAGCACACATGTTGGGCACCACACTACTTCTGGAAGAGGTATGCTCTTCACCCCCTAAGAAGGAAATGAACCAGACATGTGAGGGAAAAAAAAGGAAGTGTACAAGCTTAATAAATTCTGAGAGATGCAATCCATGGTTAAAAAAGACTCGAGTTCAAACCATCCTCCATTGAATGAACCATACAGGAAAATAACTGGCTCTAATAAACGAAGAACCACTCTATGAAACAAAACTTCAAGGAAATTTTATACCCATATGAGCAGAAACAGCAACTCAAGGGACAGTTCTTTGAAATATAATAATGGAGGAAAAGAACTAGCCTTGACTAGGCATCTACCCAACACACACCAAGCAACCAGAATTATGAAGAGGAAGTTAACATTTGGCCAAAACCAGACAAACTCCCAAAATCACAGTCGGAGCAAGAAGTACAACAGACCAAACCCAGCATTATGGGGTCATGTTGTTGCCTCAACTCAACCGTAAGAACAGAGCAATACCTATAACCAGTATTAAGAGCAGAAATCATAACTCACCCAACCGTAAATGCAGAGAAGAGACATCCTGCATCCAGAAATATGAACAGTGTACATACATCCTGTTGCCGGTATTATGAGACAGACGAGGTCACCTCAAGCTCAACAGTTGTAGCAGGGAAAAAACCTCCTGTAACTGGAATTAATGAGAAGAGGGACCTCTACTGAAATAACCATAGGAACAGGGAAGTGTCATCCCAAACCCGGTATTACAAGGAGGATCCTGTGTAGGCTGGACCAGCTTCAACTGACAGCTGTCCACCTGGAAAAACATCTAGGGGAAATGGAAGGAGGGAAACCAGCTTTTTCTTCTTCTCACTAAGAGTATAATCACGAGTATGTATGGTAAATTAAATTTCTATTTACCACTTAGGAGGAAGCCTCCTTGGTCCACTACCTCAGTGACTGGGAGCTGATATGGATTTCCATGCTCCACATGCAGAAAAAAGAAAAAAGAGGGAGAGTAAATTAGGTGGGGAATCCGAAGGAACGCCACACTCGAGAAAGTGCATTGGGTGTTCACGATTCCCTATTTTGAAAAGCAGACCATCTCCAATTTATGCAATCAGAGGGTTGGCAGGGATGGGCAGAAATCCTCTTTTGCTTTAGTCATGATAATATACCATTGAGTTAAACTTATGGATACCTGGAGACACAAAAGTATATACCACAATGCATGCCACTATCTCTACAGTGAGTGTTATAGCTCTACTGGTATATAGTGCAGGTTTGAGTAAAAGCACACCTGACCAGGCAATACTTGCCACAAAGTGGGATCCTACGAGTAGTGGTAAAAGAAAACATAAATGAAATGATGGGAAAAGACATGCCCAAGTCAAAGATGAACAGATGTGTGTAGAATTGCCATAGGAGGGAAACAATATCCACTTGAGAAAGATTCAGCCAGATAGTGCAGATAATAAGCAATGAAGGAATAAGGAGCAGTCCACATTCAGACCTGAACAATTTCTTCCAATGGACAGCAAAGACAAGCAGCCAAAGGCATGGCAATATGAAATGTTGAGGAGATGGTGACCTTCCATGGATAAGCCTGAATATGTCAGGGGATAGATCATGAGAGACAGAAAGGTTTCAGGGAATAAAAGGTCAGGAATACGAACCCCCAAAAAAGGCAGTACACGTACATAATACTGTAGAAAACAACGCCATTTGAAATTGGAATGGGAGTACAGGTTGAAAATGGAAAGTAAAGAAATGGGTGTCAAAGCTAAATGGCCTTCCTGGATAATAGATGTCTTAAAAAGGAAAGACCAATTTTGATATATGATGATATAAGAGGAATGGTAGAGGATTCTGATAACATTAAAAGCATAAATATCTGTTTGATGATGTCTGCAGGCTAGGAGGAAAAGGAAACATCATAAACCATATACCCGATTAACCAGCTGTTAAGAAAAACAGTGTAGAGTGTAACAGACCAAAATAAGAAGATGCCAGAAAAAGTTAATCCAACTTTCTTCTCTTTGATTGTATACATCCTCAGAAACAGTCATGTTGGAAATGAGAAGAATCACCAGACATATGCACAAATTTAACTCCCTGTAAATTAAGGCCTGTACCTCCTCAGCAGATAAAGTCGAACCTGATGCCTGGGTAGATGTACCAGAAGTATTATCCACTGTAACAGGAACTTCCATTGTTAATACGTTGAATCGCAAAGTCATTCTAAGTTACTGTATGAATCTGTAACAATAAACAAAGGCAAAATAAATTCAAAACAACTGAATGCAAACACAGTAAAAGAAAACTGTTGAAAAAGGTATTAAAATGTCAATGAAGTACAATCCTAAGTGGTAGTCATATGGGAATATACACACGGCCAAACAGTGCTATGCCAATCAAGGACATGAGGATTGAGCAGAAGCATTAGACGGAGCTAGCTGCACCAAGATAGGTGGTGAAATACTATTGGTGGAGGCTGGTCACATGCTGTATGCATATTCAAAATTGGCATGAAATTTGTGGGGTATATAGACTGGAGAGCTGAGCATTAAAATTCTTTTTAGCAATGTTTAGGGGGCAGAAAGAAGATCAAGATAGCTTTGTGTGAATGGGGGTAAAACCATATAAGAATTAAGTATTTTGAAGATATCTGATAAATTTTTCAGTCAACGTAGAAAAAAAAAGCATTATTCATTTATATTTCATATTTTTGAACTTTTTTTGATATTTTCACTATAGTTAGCATTAAGGTAGAAAAAATAAGGGATAAAATACAAAGTTTTACCAAAAAATTGTTTAGGAGGTTCTAATAGAGGTTAATCAAAGGAAACATGAAACTGTAAGATGAAAAGAAGTATTTTTATTTTTAGCATGAAAATCACTTTTCATTCAGACTGACAATGTAAAGCTTTGTAAATTCACAGACGAATCTTTAGTAAACATTTTCTTTATTAAAAACTGGAATTTTTGTGTACAACAAACTTGTCATGTTTACTAAAAGCTTGCCAAATTTCATGAAGATACACAAAGTAAATTGAAAATTCTTGTAAACAATATTAATTATGTATAGCTTCATAACTGCTGGAGTGGATACATTTGACTGAGACTGTAAACAGAGGGTATGTTATTTAACACAGGGTGAGGTATGGTACTATTTAGATGCTGGTTGAAACTGCATGGAATAACTTGTATATACAACCCATTTCATATTATAAACTTTAAATGTTCAAACTTAAGTAATCAATGGAATACAAAGTATGCATGACCAAGACATACTAACTTGTTGACATTTTTGCTACAAATTGTTACATTTCACAGCAATCATTAAAATTTAATATTATTTCTACTCTCCACAAACTTGAATTTTTTCTCTTCTCTGTGGTGGTTTTTGAGAGTGGTGGTTATATCCTTGAAAATATGGTCTTCTACTCCTTGGTGGCTCTAGTTGTTCTTGGTCTAGTATATCTTCAACGTATCGTTCATGGTTCTCTTCCCAGTCATTTACTTGATCCTATTAATTACAAGTAGGTTTTCCTAAACAAACTTGTAAAATCATAACTGAAATAATGTAAAAAATATAATCACTAACAGATTGAAGACTGTGATTAACTATTTGGTTAATCATAGATATAACAGGTATTGAGAAATATTATGTAAATAATAACTACCCAAATAATCATACATCTGCAGTATTTTGTTCAAGTGAATACATTGCTAGTAACTAATCAATAGTAATAATCATGCAGTTGCTACTTTATAACGCTTAATGTAATGAATAAAACAATAATAAATGTGTCATAACTATCTAATTATTCATCTAACATCATTGGCATGTTTAAAAGGGTGTTGTACGTGTGTGTGTGTATCTGGAATAATTATCATTAGAGAACTCTGCCCCTCTCAAGTCCCCACTTTAGATATTAAACTTAGTCTTAAAATTTTTTATATTCTCCCTGTAATGCAACTCCCATTGACATGAAAAGTTAATTTTTCATGGACAGGCAGGGTAGTCATACAAGTATCTTCAATCAGAAGAGGCCAGGGGATAAGTTTATATAATGGTAGTTTGAAAAATTGTCAGATCTCCATAAAAATGTGCAAAGAGAACCTAAGGTAATTTTGGCTTCTTTGGTAATTAAAAGGTATAAACAGATATTTGTTAAATGCAAAAAAGACAATTTTTTGGGGTATTTAGTACCACTTGACTCCCTTCTGCCTCAAACTAACTCTTAGAAATGTCACTGCCTAACATAATAAGCAATAATGTTTTTGTAATATCTTTATATTTCAATGCATAATTAGTAAGTAGTCAGTATTATTACATATATATTTTTTTTTTCATGGATCATAAAGCAGTGTTAGCAACAATGATGTATTCTTCAGATTGGCCTTAAGCTACCAGTTTGTATAACAGACAGAAGCACATGTTCTCAGTGCAAATGTGTCTGTTTCATTCTGCATTTTTCAGATGGTGCATAAGAAAGCTCAGTAACCATTTCTTTCCATAATAAAACTAATAGTACTAATCACTGTACGACTTATAATCGTATGTAACTTGAAATTCAAATAAACTGTAATAAACAACATACTGTCATGCTTCAAAAAAATGTTACAATGTTCATTTAATTAGACTTAAAAGAGTCACAAAAAGAAATAAGTAATTTACCACAGTATTACCAAACAGTGCCACCAAATAAAAAGGAATAAGTGTTACCAAGGATTATTTAACACTTTAGATAAATGTTGGGAAATGAAATTCAGGTAAAGTACAGTTCTATTCAGAAAACTCTGGTTAAACTTTAACATATCTGGTGTATAATAGCAATTACTGTTTACAAGTGAAGCACTATTAAATTTGGTGTCAGAGAGAAAACCATGCTGAAAAACAAGGCAAACAAGATTATTATACAACTTGTGTTGATACTTTTGTTACGTCAAATGTAATATGGTGAAAAAAAATTCACTAAAGGAGGACTACCAAAACACCTTAGGTTTTGTTACCTTTTATACCTGAATGTAAAAGGAACCTCAATATACATTCTCATCAGTGAGTTATAATTAAGTGGTTCTGATTACCATTGAAGTATAAAATGGATTGACACGTTTGTAATACAACAAAACCGTCTACCCGTCGTGGAGTTCTATGCTGAGTGGAACATCTGGGAAAGAAACGCCTACGAAAAGGCCGTTTATCAGCAGCATACCGACTCCCTCGCACAGGGGTTCCATCTGGTCCTGTAACATTGGCTGCTTCATTTCCCTGTGGTATGATACAAATACATAAATTGAATAAAACATTACAATTTTCCTATACTGATAACGTATTTTTGAAACGTACTTACTGTTACGACAGCGGAAGTCACGTGATGCTGGTAACATGTCATGAGATTCTCGAAGGATCTAGACTTTTCCTGGCAACTCTTGTCTTTTCTAGGTGCCCTCTTTTATTGTATATAAGCCTGGCAAATAAAGCGGAGATAGATAGCAGATACAGAGATACAGAAACAGATAATTGAGTCAAGCGAGCGGTAGTGACCGTAAGTAAAGTGCGTGAATCCCATGATAGTTTAACAGAAGGACATCTTGGAGTTAAGAAGACATTGAATCACCTACGACAGAGATTTTACTGGATAGGTATGAGGTAAAATGTGTAGGAATGGTGCAGGACCTGCAGTACATGTTGTGCTAAAAGGGAACCCATGCATAAGGGACGTGCTCTAATGGAGTTATATCAAGTTGGCGCACCAATGGAAAGAGTAGCCGTGGACAATGCTGATCCTCTGCCCCAAACCCATGCTGGAAACAAGTACATTTGTGTGGTGATGGATTATTTCACTAAGTGGCCTAAGGCATATGCAGTACCAAATCAGGAAGCTACCACTGTAGCTTCGGCTATTAGTGATTTAGTATGCCATACGAACTGCATTCTGATCAAGGTCGTAACTTTGAATCAGCTGTGATTCATGAATGCTGCAAGTTGTTTGGCATACGAAAGACCAGGACAGTGGCACTTCACCCACAGTCTGATGGGATGGTAGAAAAGTACAACTGGACACTGGTACAGGAATTGGGAAAGTTTTGTAATAGGTGGAAAGGTTGCTTGGGTTGCTTTCCCCCCCCCCTGTTGGTGGGCTATAAGACAGCAGAGCATGAAACCACTGG